CTGCGTGGCTACTCGGTCGGAGCCCTCCGAGAAGAGCAGGCGCAGGGCTGTTGCCCGTACACCTGCCTTCTCATCAGGAGGCACCCTGGACCATTCCCTGGTGCCCAAAGTTTTTCGCCAAGAGCTCCCCACCGCGTTTTTGGCAATGACTGCAGCGAGCAATCGACTGGCCTGCAATGGGGGCGTCGCTTCAGTAATGAGAAGGGCAACCTCTTGTTCACCATTGAAAGAGTGAATTGTTGGATGCCTGAATGACTCGGAGAATCCGATACTCCTCAGAACAACGAGGATGCAGGAAACAATCTATATGGTCTTACAAACAATTTAATGAAGCACTGCATGGCTCAGTATTGGTTTGCGCAAACAGATCTTGCCTCGTCAGGACTGTGCTCCAGGATGCTAACAAGTGCTGCAAGAAAGCCCGGCACTGCGTCCGCTTCCCAGGTTTTAAGGCTAGTCTCTGCAGCATTTCTAACGTGGGCGTCCAGATTGAAGGCCCCCGTCACGGCGGAAAAGACCTCTCTTACGTCCACAGGATGTTGCTGTTGCACTTCTGCCTCCATCTCGGACTATGCTATGCTAAGCAACTGACTCGTACACTAGAAATAAATGCAATCTGCTCATCCGTTTCTCGCCTTGTGTTCGAGTCCTTCCGGAAGTGGCAGATGCATCTCGAAGCACAAGCCAGATCAGGCATCCAGTCACAGAATTCGGTGCATGCAGGTCAACTGGACACCTCTCCCTGGACATGCACTAGCATGCTCGCGTCTGCTCCTTTTTGGCAGGAATCAAACAACGTATGCCCTCGCTTCTTCTTATTATTTCTGACATCAGTGCACAGATCCTAGATTTGATGGTGCTGGGAGTACTCCTAGTACATGAGGCAAGAGAGGTCATGACCAATATTGCACGTGCCACAGTGTGCACCAACTTTGAAAGACTCCCGGAGGACTCCTGGGTCAGCTGGAACGTTCCTAACAAGCTCGCTAATCCCCGGCGCATAGCTGTAGCTATAGCAGCACTGGCGAAGCTTTCCAGGGGCTGCAACATTGAAATTTGTCAGTGAAGCCGACCGAGGGGGTTCTTTGGGGGGTTGAAGCTCACGTATGTCTCAAGCCTCAATTAGGTTTGTACTTAAATTTACTATTGAGTCACCTGTCAGCAGCACAGGAAATCCAGCTAGCTGCAGCCAGTGAAACCACTGACAAGAAAGGGGGTGAACATTTTAATGTATGGCCATCATGTTGGTCAGTCTTAACGGACGTCCTGGACCATGAACATCATGATCATCATCGCCAAGATTCAGTATCATATCCATGACTTGCAGAAACAGGCTCCATTCACAAACCCGTGCAATTATCAAATTCAGCCCTAGGCCTCAAAATACCGGTACATACATTTGAGGAAGCTCCACGCCTTGAATAATCGTTGGGCTTGGCTCCTGGCTTGTCTTCTGACTCCTCCCTCCAGTTGCGCACAACAAGTGACTTCTCTACATGCACTGCGGCATCAAATGGTAACTTTCCCGGCTTTGAATAGGCATTTGGAACAAGCGCCGCATCTGCACATGGCGTCTAACCGGTTAATACCATAGGGAAAATACATAATTTCCTCATCGCACTCGCCCAGGGGATTGCGCCACATGTCATTGCTGACATCAATGACGCAGCGATTGCACAAGTGCAAGATATTACCGACGCCTTCATACATCTGCATTTCCCAAGAGGTCCCCAGGGCCTTCAAGAGGCTCCAAATGCCCAGCCCCTTGGCAGTTTGAAATTCAAATGAGAATGCGGGCGGGTTCCGCACGAACGCAGGGAGATCCTCAAAGTCCAGAGATAAAGAACCTGCCGAGTGGACCTCTATGGATTCCCAGGAATAGTGGGCAGGGATGCGCAGATGCAAATCGCGCCCACAGATGATGATTCTCCGGGCACCTGCAATTGCCGCTGTCTTCATCGGTGCAACGTCTCCATTTGCACCGTCTAGACACACAGTGTCCAGTCGGACAGGACCATTCAGCCAGGGGACATGTCCACCAAGACGGGGGCGCACGAAATCGTTCATGTAACCGTCCGGCAAAGCCTGATCATAATACAAGGAACCCACAGTGCGCAGCGAGGCCCACACGGGGGGGCATGCAGCCTGCCAAGACCTGAAATCCAGGTGAATTATGCAGCTGCTAGGGAGGTGCAGGCCTGCAGGAGCAACCCCCCTCAGCCTGACACTCTGCAATGTGGCACATGGCGTGAGGTTCAGAGCAGACATTTCCCTGCCGTCATGCCCTCTCATGGACATGTTCAGATGCACAGTTTGCAACTGCCGCATGTGGGGTAGTGCAGCTGCAACCTCTGGCAGAACTCCCTCGCTCAGCACCCACAGCACCAGGTGCTCTAACTGGCGTATGACAGGAAAGACTTTGCCGGGGACTACATCACACAAATAGCATCGCAGCACGCGCAGCGCGGTCGCCGTGGCCGCGGCCTGGGACAATACAGCGTGGATGATCTCCGCCGTCGCTTGGCTCCCTGGAGAGACATTGTTGCTTCTGGAGAGATTCAGTAGGTGCAGCTCGCAGAGGCTCCGGAGGTTTGGGCCCCGGAGACTTGTAATGAGCGGCAGCAGCTGCTCCATGGAATTCACATCGAGGTTGCCGACGTCCATGACCATAACGTTCACTGCATGGCAGCGTTTTGAGACCCACTGGACGCCTGCGAAGAAGACCAGCAGCTATAGTAAAGCGAGGTGTCCCATGTCAGATGAGAGTTTTCAAACTGAGGAAGCCAACCTTCCCCACGTTCCCTCCACTCCCTCCTTTCCCATCTATTAGTAGCGTTGACAGATGAGAGTCCACAAGGTAGATGTCAGTATCACCTGCAGCACCGACAGGCCTTTCGAAAGCCAAGTTGGTGCGCAGGTCCACCTTGCTCAGGGACATTGTCCACCACGCTCTGCAGGTACCGGATGCCCGTGCCCAGTGCCTTACAGACATCTTGTCTGCAATGTTTCCCACGATGCTCATTGGTAGGCTCTCCAGGCCCCCAAATGCCTGAACGCTTGTCCTGTGCAAATCAAGGCTCCAGATCACCAGGCCGTCCGTCGTTTCAACGCTTTACAGTCCAATCCTCTTATCTACAGCTGCTGATGAGATAGATCCTAATGCATATATTAATTTACTCAGGAATATCCAAGCTCCAGGTAACCCTCACAAGGACCCAAAACAATCCACAGTTCCCCCACCTCGTGAACTGATTGGCCCCTCGGGAAGCCCTTTTGATGGTAGATCAAGTGTTGTAAAATAAGCGTGCGAACGTAGAAATGAGGAGTGAACGCACATTTTGCGCAGGTCAAGCTGTGGCTATTCGACAGTGATCTGCGGTCGCCTGCCTACGACGAAAGCGTTCTCGCGATCTTGCAACAATGTGATGTGCTATTCACATGCCAGGTGCAGCTCCAAGAGTCATACAAGTAGAAAGTATTGGAGACCTAATGAAGATCCTGACTGGTAGAGCACGGCCTCACCACCACTGATCTAACTGTCGGACTATCCCCAGTCACTTATGAGGAGGCCATAACATGTCCTGAGTATACCACCAGTTCACAGGCATTATTGGATGAAAAAGTGAAGACATACGTCCTCATGTCCTGATGAGACACCCGCACGTGCAGTACCATGGACATGACACTGGATGTGGGAGATGATAGGGCATCTATGTAGCCCTAGCTAGCTGGAACAACTCATAGCTTCATATACAATCTTCTTCTGCGGGCCGCAAGAGCACCCGTGGCTCCGCTGAGGTCTGAACGACACAGTGCTGGCACTGGGACCTTCAAGGCAGCCTGCTGAGTCCGCGTATGCGTAGCAAGGTGCTAATGTGTTTCCCAACCTGCAGCACACATCTATAAGTATAGCACTGGCAAAATTTTACACGACTCGCAATTTCATTAATAGTGGAACATTCTTTCGGCCGCCGCATGAAGTCAGCGGAGGCGACCGGGGGGGGTTTGGGGGGGGCGGAACTACTTTGCTCCCATGAGTTGCTAGCAAGCTTTGTGGAATCCCGGTCAGGACGGCAGTGAGTGCCAATGCATATGCCACAGTCCCATGCTAGCGTGTGTGGCCAAAGCCGGTGAATGGTCTTAGTCTAGACTGATTTGCACTGGCATGCTGCCATTTACAATAAAATGCCCTAGGTTGCAATAGGTCGGGATCCAGCCATTGCAGGGCATGCACATGCTTATAATCATGTGTGGCTCGCCCGGGTTGGGGGCGGGTGTTTGCAATCGTAGCGCGCGTGTGCAAGTCCCAAATGGGCGCTGTACCGTATGTTGCTTTTGGAGCCTCCACTGAGTGTTGGCATATCACTGTAATATAGTAGTTACATTATAGACCCCTATGACCTGACTCTCAGGGTGTACTAAATACAACTTAATACAACTAAATACAACAATTGCATTTAGTACCCCCTGTGACTCTCCTGGAGTCAGGTCTGTGCTGGCGTACCCTTCCTTTGCGAGTATACTCTGAACATTAAACCAGCGTTATTTAAGCGCTACCACAACAGGTGATGTCAACAACACTATGTTTAATCATGCCCCGCGCATGCACGCTAGTTCCATGTTGCCCAAGCATGATCTGAATGATGGTGGGTCCCCAAGCGGGGGGTTTGGGGGGGCGCAGCCCCCCCAACAAGGCAGAAGTTGAGGCATGTATGCCTTCTCGATGAACACCCCCGGAGTGCCACTACCCATCATGATCAACTGGCCCATGTCAATTGCTTCATTCACCCGTCGCAATGGATTGCCCGCTAAACTGCCATCGAGCCTGCTGATCAATAGAGCTCATGATGGCTTAGTGAGGCAACGGGTGCGTTTCAGCAGTGCTCTTATGGGATTGGGACGATGGTGCTTGAGCCCACTTTGACTGGGAGAGCCGAGGGGTCCATAGGATAAAAAAATACACCAAAGTCATCGAGCGAAGAATTGAGCGGTCTAATGGATCTGCGATAGTATAGTGGTTAGTATTCTCGCCTGTCACGCGAGGGACCCGGGTTCAATTCCCGGTCGCAGAGCTTTCACTTTTTTGTGTTTTTTTTTTGCTTTTTTTTTGGTTGTAGGCCATTGCGAAGCCCTGGGACGCAGTGGGGGACCATGCACATTTCAGTGTACAGGATGGAACAGCCCTTCTCATGTCAAAACGCTGCCGGCACGCGGGCCGGCACCGTCACGGTATACTACAAGGGGGGTCTGGCTGCAGGCGCTTCGGTGCAGTGTCGGCTGAGGTGCCTCTGTTCTTTTCAAACAAAACGAGAGAGATGAATACAAACAAAGCCGCTTTGCTTACGCTGAGCGTAAGAAGCTCATACTCGATGTGGGCATGAAATGTTCCCTGTAACACAATACACAAATCATTAAAATTCTTGCACATGATGTTGGGGGGGCTGCGCCCCCCCAAACCCCCCGCTTGGGCCCGGGCGAATTGGCATGGCACAGGGCAAGCCTTGCTGCTGCGTGCTGATGAACAGCACCGGTGCTACCACGCAGCAGGGTCGATGATACCACAATCAAACGGTGTATGTGGCTCTGGAATCAATTGCAGTATTTATGGTGGAAGTCGAGGGATTGATCAATCATTTACATGACTTTCAGGATAGGACAGTGCAATCTCAAGCATGCACAAATGTGGCGATTGATCAAGCATGACTTGCAGATTCAGAAGGTGCAGACTTTGGGACTAATTATAATCCCCCGGAATTTGGCTCCCTCAGGCGGGCAATGTCTTGCATGCAGGAAGCATGGGGTATAAATGCAGACGGGGATATCATCCGACCATTTCAACAACGACAGGCATCAGATGCACTCTGAAAACAGGCAGGTCCAAGATCACATACGGTACAAGCACCATGCTCAGCAAAGGCTCGCTGGCCTTGGCGTGTTCAAGTAGACCATTAGATAATAAAGGTGTTCATATTGCTGCCACAATCCCGGATGCGCCAGTATCACATCATGATGGGTCAGTGGCGCCATTCTTGCGCTGCTGAAGGTCTTGACATTGTGACATCCTCTCGTCCATGTGAGTTGGACTCAAACAAAATAATACCTACACCAATAGAATGCATTCCTTCTCCACAGCTGCATTGACCGTGTGCAGCAGGTGTAACACACACCACATGCACATAGGTCAGCCAATTTGACATCCTCAAGGGACACTTCTGGTAAGCCAACTCTTGTGATCCAATCATCCACATCAAAGTCCGTGTTAGAGCCGACCCACTTCCCCTCAAGATACTGACCTCGCGTCGTGAACAGAGCCGCAAATTTTAATGTTGTTGGACAGCAAGAGAGCCAGCTCATTTGGACATTGGTCATGTTTGCTGCTAAAGTGTTGCAGCTAATGTCCGATATATCAAGAGTGAGGGTCTGCTCTGCAGCAACAACAAGTGTTTGCAGTCGCAAAGGTGCGGAGATACACAGGTGCACATTCAGGCTGCTGATCCTCAGATGCTGCAGGTTGGCCATGTTACTGTTGATCTCAATGGGTCGCCATACACCAGTGAGCTTGGGATACTCAAGATCAAGCCTTGTGAGGTGCGGGCAGGGGAACTTTGAGAGCCACAGCAGACCTAACGCCGGCATTGGGCACAGGTAATCTTCCATCCGGTGATAATCTAACTCCTCGTCTCTTCTGAAAAAGTTTGTACGAAGAGAGCAGACATGGACCATGCCCGCTATGCGCTGCCATTTGCTCTCATTCAGGCACAGGATGTCACGAGTGACCGACAGGGAACAGCCCGGAGGCAGCCTCAAGTACTCTGGCTCAAGCATCATGACTCGCACTGCGCGTAATCCGGTGCAATCAGTGAAGTCCAGGCCGGCAATCCCCACCGCATCATCATCATCCTCTTCGCTAACATATCGGACGTCCAAGCAGAGAGTCTCAAGCACTGTGACAACTGGAACTTTCCTGAGATGTTCCTGAACCGTTCATATTCTCGGTATCATAGGAACCTGTCAGGAAGCTGTCGGGAAGCTGTCAGGAAGCAGTCGGCCACAGTAAGGAACTCATAAGGAAATTGAGGTGTTTGATTCAGGAACGATATAGGATATATATAAGAAATTCTACAGCGTTCCTAAACAGTTCTTTAATTTCAGTCAGGATGCGATCAGGAGCCCGTCAAGAAGCTTTTAGGATCTTGTTAAGACATTTTTCGTTTTTTCCTGAGGCAGGTGAACACATTAGGAACTGGTAAAGATACCGTAAGGAACAGTGCCGCAACGGTGTAGGTCTTGATACAGTCTTGATAACTACTTTCTCCAGGGACCTCATTTAGATACATTAAAGAATCAAGAGATAGGAAGTACTTAGGAACGCATAGGGAATAGGGGGCCCCCCTGCACCCGGGGTGCAGTCTTGTAAATTTGAACAGTACAAGATCTCGTTAAGAAAACAGGTCAGTAAGGATGCCGCAGCGGAATGTTTCCTAAATCAGACAGGAACTTGTTAGGACGGCACAACCCCATGATTCCTAATTAGTTCCGCATACCCGGACCTTCCGGGCACGCACAGGAAGCGTTGAAGAACAGTTCCTGAACGCTTCAGACATCCGGAACTAATTAGGAAGCTTCCTATTAGCTTCAATCCCTCGTCAGGAATCCGTTAGGAACACACAGGACCACGTCAGGACACATTTGGGAAACTCGAAGTCCTCACAGTGAAGGCTGTGCAGAGTCTGCAGGGCGCTGCAAGCATTTTTTTTCAGAGGTCGCCTGAGGTCCCACAACCAGGTGCACTAGCTTATCCAGCATGGAAAGACCGTGGAGCACCCGAGAGATGCCTTCAAGACAGAGAGCCTCTATGTGTCCAGCTTGCCTCAAAAAGGGAAGCAGCCATGGCCGAGCCAGCTTGTCAACAGCAATGTAGTTCTCTGCCTCCCGGCATGGACTGAAATCAAATGCCAGCTGCTGCAAGTGCTCGGAGGGGCTGCTCTTCTTCATAAGCTTGCACAAAGTGGACGGGCAGACATCTCCAAAGTGGATGCCAAGCTTTTCCGCCTCTCCCCAGTGGTTCATGCGCCACTGCACCATATCCAGCAACCGCTCGGGTGTCTGCTTCCAGCCTGCCTCGCATTCTAAGACTCTTGGTTGCACCTGGGACATGGTTCGACAGGTGCCGCTGGCTCTTGCCCAAAGTCTCGTGCTCATGTGGCCAGCCACCTCCTTCCAAACCTCCACTGGAAGTCCGGTGGGCGGCCTTTTGTCGACAGCCATATCCATCCTGCACATACGGGCCTATGTTTGTCAGTGCCGTTAGGTGCCCAATGCTACACAAACTCAACACGGTCACGTGATCAATGCTGTAGGAATGTGCTACATTAGTCTAAGGGATTTGGCTTGCAACAATGCTTCCAACGGCCACATATGGGAGCAAGTATGTTCCAGTGGGACATGACAGCTTTGGTACCATTATTGCGATCGCATGAAGCTGATATTTTCATGTGACAAAACTTATATTCTTTTTGGCAGGTTCTACAGCATACCTTCAGCTTCAGCCCGTTGTCATCTGGCCTCGATCAGGGTTGACGCCCACTTCCAGGATCAACGACAGATGCCTGCAAAAGCGAAACCTGCAGAACGAGACGGAATGAGTATGCTTCCTGTAGATATCTTCCACCAATTGCGAGCGGCGCACACACCAAAATATCACAAAGCCTGAAGTGTGCGATGGTGTCACGTTTGCCAAGGGACACTCTGGTGCAGGCTTGCAATACACCAAGGATCATCATCTTCAGAAAAGTTGCTTTGTCCCTCGTTATGTCGAACGTTGTGATACGAATATGTATTCAAAAACTATATATGACCATCTCCACGATCGTGATCCATAGCTAGAGCTTCACCTTGAGCGGTGGCCAGCAGCTGAAGAATCTTTGCACCGATGCCTGTGAACGAGAGGTGCTGCATTAACAAAATTGTGAGCAGATGCGATAGAAACAATTTCTTCCCGCTTGCAGATACTAAGAGGTGCAGTAAAATATGCCATGCCCCCTCCATGCCCAGCATCCTTCAAACCTTAAGATCAAGAGATACAAGACAAAACCTTGTAATTTTGATTTTGAATCCAGCACCATGCCCCTGTCAAGTGTGGTTCTAGTGAGACACTATGATGAACACACAGCGCAGAATTCATGCCGATGAAATGCTGGTCTTGTGCCACGGTGGCACTGCCACCAAAAAGACTACAGGACAATGCATATGCAACCTCAGTTTGAAGCCTGCGCATGTGCATGCACAACACGTGGCAATCGAGTTGGCAATCCTAGAAGGTGCAAAATGTTTGGGACTGGATGCTTCCATTCTATATACAAGCAAGTATGTCCAAGATGCTTTCTCAGCATTCTGCACAGGCTCTCTGTTGTTTGCATGGCCCAAACAGCCCATCTAGAATCTTCCAAGGTGTTCAACTTGCTGCCACATACTAACATGAATCAGTTCTGTGAATGCGTTCAATGGAACCTTCACAATGTGAGATCGCCTGGTGCACCTGATTTAAACGAAATGGCAGCACAAGGACGCATTTCTTCTCCACAAGTGCATCGAGCGTGTGCAGCAGGCATAACACACACCGCATGCACACAGATCAGCCAAGTTGGCATCCTCACAGGAGAACTCTGGGAAGCCAAGCCCAGTGCTCCATTCATAATGACACTCGCCAGGCTCCATGTCCTCGGTGTAGCCGCCCCATGTTCCCTCAAAATACTCTCCTCGCTCCTTGAAGAGAGCTGCAAACTTTGCTGTTGTCGGACAGCACGAGATCCACCTCAACTGGACAGTGGTCAGGTTTGCAGCCAGAGCGGAAATGTCCACGATATCAAGATTGAGGCTCTCCTCTGCGGCAACAATCAATGTCCGCAGGCGCACATGTGCACAGATGTACAAGTACACGTTCAGGCTGCTGATCCGGAGGTGCTGCAGGTTGGCCATGTTACCGCTGATCTTGATGGGCATCCAGACATGAGACAGCTCGGGATATTCAATGTCGAGCCTCGTGAGGTTCGGGCAGTGGTACCTTGAGAGC